AAAAAAATTAATTAAAACTAGTTTTGTAAAATTACAATATACAAAAGGGGTATTGACAACATTTCGAGCACAACTATTAGTTGCCTTGTTAATAATAATAAAAACAAGTTTGTTATCAAAAATTAATTTAAGATTATTTTAATACTTTTTAAAAATATGAGATATTAATATTGAAGATTGGGGTATTCTACCTTCTTGTTTAAGATACTTTTTAAAAAATGGAAGCAAGTGATCTACTTTTTTAAGTAGAATATTAGCAATTGCAAATGCTTGAATTAAATCTTCAATAACTTCATTTTTTATTTTAGTAGTATTTAGACTATTACAAATAGATACTTATTTTCTAATATCCTTTTGAGCTTTATATTTTGCTTTATTTGATTTATGCTTATTACTAAAACAATGATTATTAACTATTGATTTCGATTTTTATTTAATAGCTTTATTACAATATTTATATACTAAAACATTTGTCATTAATACAGAAAGTGTTTGAATATTCTATAAACTATAATTCATTTTTTAGATATTGTTAATATGTAGTAAAAATAAAGGTTAGGGCAGTGTTATTTATCACCTGATTTTTTTTTATCAGAAGCTTCCCCTCTTCTTCTAGTTTTTAATATATAATTAATCATATCTTATATATAAAATTTTAAATTTTTTGACTCTTTCTCTATAAAATCACCTGATAATTGTCAGCTCCCTTATTAATAACCCGAAGGTAAAAAACTTTATCTTTATTGATAGTATTTATATATTTTATACAAAATTTTTTATCACTTTCTATTTTATTTATAAATTTTAATATAAATTGAAAAATTCATTGTAATTAGAGCTTAGAAATTTAAACTATTCTTTTTTATATAAATTTAAAAAATTATATCTTTATCTTTTTATATATAGTTTTACTAATTTGGTATTATTATTTTTTTTTATACACAACTATAAATTCTATTACTTTACTTTTTAAGCTAGTGGTCTTAAATCAATTTAATATATATGTATATAAATAGAAATATGGAGAATATATGTATGCTCTTAAATTATAGTAAAACCTTTATTTTTTTCTTGTAATACAATAGTGGTACTGCAAATAAAATTATGAGTTATATGCAAATTTCTTAAAATTTATAAATTATATGAAATTCTGTAATGATATAATAACATTCTATAATTAGCAAAAGAAGGCTCTAAGTTAACGGAGTACCTAAACCCAGAAACATTATATATGAAAGGTTACAAAATAAATACACGTGGAAGGTAAATTAGTTAAAAAGCTGATTCGATCCTTTACTAAAATAATAGGAAGAGTGTTATTAAAGGCAGAATGAGCTTTCTTATATAACACACATGATGAAACTCATCAAGAAAGAAAGAGTACTCAATCTTGGTTCATATTGTATAACATAATGAGGAGTAGAACCAGACAACAAAATTACATCTTCAAATCGAATACACTACAACTCTTTGAAATAAAGTGTATAAACAACATGCTCCTAGTGTTCGAAAAACTCAATCAGAGAAGGCCGGAAACATATAAGATAGACAAATGTGTTATGTAGAAAAAAGAAAGAGAATGTAGAACACCTAGTGAATTGTGAAACTTTCCTGAACCTTCTCTGAGACTTGGAGGAGCAAGTAGTAAAGGCAACCTTGCTCAAATTAAAAAAGTTAAAAAACTTGAAGACAACCAAAGAAGAAGTCTTAACAATGATAGAAAAAAAATCCCAAACTAAAGAATCACATAGAAGAGAAAGATGGATTAGAGGCCTAATCACAAAAGAAGACTTCGACGAGTTGAGATCTCTCTTCAACTCGAATAACCAAGCAATTGGCTTTCTAGATAAACTTTGAAAAAATTAGATGAAGGAAGTATACGAAAGAATATAGGTTGCAAGATGCAAACTTGTGCAGGAATAGGAGAAAGAAAATGAAATCATGCCAAGAGATAAAAGAAGATTGCACAAAAAGGCAAGAAAGGAAAAAAAAGAAGAAGAAGAAACCACCAGATAAACGTACTAGAAAAAAAAAAAAAGATAGAAATGAAGAAGAGGATAAAAGATAGGTTTCAATTTTAGAGATAACTAAAAAAAAAAATTGTAAGGTGGATTGAAGAAGAACAATGAGCAGATTGGTGGAAAACTAATTTGTAGTCTTGATGGGCGGTAAGATCCAGCTGGTGACATATTATTGAAGCCAATTGCAAGATAAGATAATACAGAGGTAAATCTTACTATAGCAAGTCGCACAAAGGTACTCAGTGAGCAATCAGGTGAGTCTCCACTTGTAATTTAGGTACTACAGAGTATGACTTTGTAGAAAATTTTAATAGTTTAGATAATTATTACAAAGCTTAATAAAGTGAAGGCAAGACTGCCGAATTTATAAAAAAAAAAAAACATTCTATAATTTAGCTACAATTCTGTGAATTTTGCAGTATTATATTAAACACAGAATATTACTATCCCTGTATCTAATCTTCAATTCTAATTGGATTGGTGAAATTCGCCACTAGTAAGTAATAAGATTATTCTACAGAAATTATTGAATTTTAATATACTAATTTTTAAAATTTTTAGCTTTAAGCCTTGACAATATATTAATTTTTCTTTGAATTTAATTAATTTTAATATACTAATTTTTAAAATTTTTAGCTTTAAGCCTTGACAATATATTAATCTTTCTTTAAATTTAATTAATTTTTTATTTTTTTTAAAAAAATATCCCAACTTTAGCTCTTATCTAAAATTTTTTCTAGTAATTAAAAAATCTTCAAAAATCACACATAATCTAATCTATATACAGTATGGTTTAACTTTTTTAAAAGTTTCAAGGTTGTAGCACCTCTCTACAAGGAGATATAGGTGTGGGAAAACTTTTGTTGAGCACTGTATGCTATAATTATATTTAGATAATTCTTGCTATTGTTATAAAGCGTGTAACCTAAAATTTGGCTAACTCCCACTCTCTAATATCTGTCATTGCCCTTATAATAAAAGTTTTATAAAAAAATTTTTTTCAAGCTCAAAATATTTTAGCATATAAAATCTATTATACTAAACTAAATAGCTTAAGAAATAGTTGATATAACTTATACTAAAAAGATCCACGAAGATTGGTTTATTTAAAATATCTATAGCATGTTATACGAATTACTTTATTGTGGTGTTTTTAAAAATTTTATTCTTTACCTGATTATAACTTGCGATAAAACAATCAGAATCGCTCGATTTTAGTACCATTCAACTCGTCTCATTGAAACGAATCGATTAGGTATCAAATCATTGAATTCTGATCAATAAACCATGATTTTTATAAAATACAATAGTGGTTTTACGTAAATTATAGATGCCTCATTTACAGGACGTTCTAAGCAAGTTAAATTATTTTTTAATTATAAATATATATAATATAAAAGAAAAAAAAAGGTTTTGTATTTTTTGATATACAAAATACCAAAATTAACAAAGTATGAAACAGCTTATTTGCTAAAACAAAAATAATCTGTACCTAATTATGTGGTAAATCACTATTTTGGTTAGAATACTTTGTCACCCATTTTAGTTGTAATATTGAAATACGTATCAGTGACATGAGAATTTTTATTGTTTCATTTTACATAGTAAACATTTAATGAATCTTGTTTCATTTGTTTAAATTGCGTAAGATTAAAATAACTATAAGCTTCGTTAACCATAACAATAACACCACTTAATTAGCAAGCTAAATTTTAACGTTAATATGATGCATAATATAATTGACAGAAACGGTAAATTAGAAAGACGTACGTACTATGAAAAACGCATCGTGGAAATACACGATCCGTATATTTCCATAGATTTTGATTTTTTTATAGTAAAAAGGTTTTGATGCTATTTAAAAATTTTGCAAATATCAAGGTTGATTGTGAATTCATGTGATACGTACTTACGATAACAAGATGGAAACAAGTCGCGATTTTAGTCAACGTTTTGGTCAACGAAACGATAAATATTAGCCCTTTCCCAGAAAGTTTCGAGCAAATTTATGCAGGGTTCATTTGGAAATACTAAATTTGAACAATTATTTATATATACGGAAAAAAACTTCAACAAAGACGACCCAAGTTTATTGTTTGGAATAAGTAAGATTTTGGTAAATAGGTGTTCAACCAATTATGAGTCATACACATCCGGCTTTGTGCGAGATATTGGCGTTTTAAAATGCTTTTTTCAGCAGACATGTGATTTACACTTAAAGATTAACTAGGATTAACAGCGTGTCCAATTTTGACTTTCGTGAGTAATATTTATAGTGTGTATTTGTATATATAGCGCCCGTGCAGACAACAACTTGATCACTTGCACTATTTATACATACATACGGTATATAATACGTACCTAAGTATAACAAACTTTTACAACTCTAATAAAATCTACATCTACGATTAGAATACATAGAAATCTACATCTGCAATTAGAACAGGATTAGAACAGGATTAGAACACGTAGAAAACTTAGAAAACTCTATGGGACATAAACTAATGCAGTATCTAAATTTCTGCAGTTGTTGCATCCCATCATCTTTTGAAAATGTAAGTACGTACATACGTACGCTATATTTATTTAATGTTACATTGCAGTGGCTGCATACAAAACTTACGTACGATTAAAATTTCGGGATAGCCCATTCGTCAAATGATATCAATGTTTTTTACGTATACATGACATTTTTTTTCGCTTCTATTACAAAATAAACTTAAGTCATCATCTAAATAAATCAAGCTAATCCGAAGCCAAGAACTGAAACGTTAAATTATCTTCTTTGACTTCTTGTTTCATATTAATTTAAAAATCAAAAATACGTAACATAGGGTAAATTCGTAATGATCAATGTTACACAAAAAAACTTGTCAACTCATTAAAATAACGGTCGAAATCTCCCAACTTGCACAAAAAAAAAAACAATCGTCATTAACCTTTAACTCTCTAAAATTAAAAAAATTATCAAAGCTCATAATGCCAGACGAATACGTTAACGGAAAAACCAAAAATGTTTCGAGCATCGAAAATATAGCTCGATCACCTTATCTTAATAAAGGTACTTAAAAAGTTCTATTAAATATGTCTATTAATTTGTGATGACCAGTTTTGCAATGCGTGAGATTTTAAAGAAATGTGCAACTCGAATTTCTTTGAAAAAAAAAAAGTAATTTGAATTCTCAAAATTTTTACTCACGCTCATAATGATATTTCCGAAAAAGGAACTGCAACGTCGCTCTCCGCACGTAATGCCCTGCAACTTACCGGCATTTTCCCACCCGCAGTAGAAAACCTCGAGCAGCAAAAGAAACGAGCATTAGTTCAATTGCGTGCTAAATCATCAAATTTAGAGAAATATATGTTTCTTGCTTGGCTAAGAAACACTAATGTTAGATTATTTTATCGTGTCGTTATCGATGAATTGGAGGTAAATTTTTCATATTTTTTTTTTATTTATTTTTATTTTTTATTTTATTTTATTCATTCATTCTCGATTAATTTTTTTTTCGATTAATTTTATTTTAACTTTTTTAAAAAATTCAGGAAATGGCTCCAATCATATATACTCCAACTGTCGGTACCGCTTGTTTAGAGTATTCCCATATTTATCCTTTCCTCGCTCCACCAGGCGTACCGGACGGATTATACCTTTCTATTGATGATCTCCCAAATTTGACCCAAATAATCAAAAACTATCATCCATATCCATTTGATGAGTCTTTAACTCCACAAATTGCCGTTATCACCGATGGTTCTAGAATCCTAGGTTTAGGCGATTTGGGTGTTAATGGTATGGGTATTCCTATTGGCAAACTTCAGCTTTACGTAGCTGGAGCTGGAATTGACCCACGACGCACTTTACCAATTACTATTGATCTTGGTACTAATAATGAGAAAAACTTAAATGATGAATTTTATCTCGGTCTCCGTAAAAAAAGAGTATCCGATGATCAAGTATGTTTATCGATTTTTTTACTATATTAATTATGAATTTTATCATAAATTAAAATTTTATTTTATTTTATGTTTAGTTTTATCCATTCGTCGATGCTGTACTTAAAGCTTTGACCTCTGTATATCCTGACCTTTTGGTTCAGTTTGAAGATTTTTCTTCTGAACATGTAAGAACCTTTATTTTTTATTTTTTTCTTTGAGTATAGAACTCCTGTTTAATAAATTCTCTTTATATTTTAGGCATTTGAACTTTTGGCCAAGTATCGTGACAACCTATTTTGTTTCAATGATGATATTCAAGGCACTGGTGCTGTCATTCTATCAGGTTTCATCAATGCTGTACGGCTCGTAGAAAAGGATGTTCATCCAAAACAACATAGAATATTGTTTTTCGGTGCTGGTTCTGCTGGTGTTGGCGTTGCCAAACAATTATTAGAGTTCTTTAAGATAGAGCATGGTATGTCCGAAGAAGAGGCCAAAAAATTGGTTTGGTTGGTTGATACAAAGGTATATAGAAGTCTTTTTTAATTTCTTTTCTCGCATAATCAATTTATATTTACAAAATTTTATCTTTATTATTATTTCAGGGTCTTGTTACCCACGATCGTGGTGATAAATTGGCTAATCATAAAGTTTATTTTGCCCGTAAGGACAATGAGGGTTGTCAATATAAATCACTTATGGATGTCATCGAATATGTTAAGCCTACCGCTTTAATAGGCTTGTCTTCTACTGGTGGTGTATTCGATGAAACCATATTAAAACGTATGGCTGAACTAAACAAAAATCCTATCGTTTTCCCATTGTCCAATCCAATGGTTAATGCGGAATGCACATTTGAAGATGTATGTAATTGAATTAATTAAATTCAAAAAATATCTTCAGGACAAAATTATATTAAATATTTCCTAACAATTACTTTATTTTTTATAAAGGCGATGAAACATACTGAAAATCGTGTCATATTTGCTTCGGGTACTGGTTTCCCACCATTCATTGAACATGATACCGGAAAAATACGATATCCAGGTCAAGGAAATAACATGTACATCTTGTATGTATAAACTATATTTATTTCTTTATCTCATATCTCATGCATCCAATTTAATTTTTAACCTCTTTTTTGAATAAACTAGCCCTGGTCTCGGTTTAGGTGCAATTATTGCCCGTCCAGATAAAATTACTGACCGCCAAATATATGCTTCTGCTTCTGCACTCGCTGAATCACTTACTGCTGAAGAAATTGAACAAAACTTCCTTTACCCTGCAGTACAACGAATTCGACGCGTATCAGCTCGAGTGGCTGCTGCTGTAATCGTAACATCTGTGGATGAAGGCCTTGCTTGTAATCCTGAAATTAATTCAATGGTTAAAAAAGATTTGCAAGAAATTTTATCTCGAAATGGTGAAAAATGGCAATCATTGGTAAAATATGTTGAAGAAAGGATGTGGGATCCCAGTATTGAAAAGTTTTTTTCAAGTGATTCTTTGATTGAGAAAAGTAAATTTTAAATTTTATACAAATATATTTTTTTCAGTTAGATTAACATATCGATTAGATTTTTCTTTTAAAAAAAAAAATTTCTTTAAAGAGTGTAAGATAAAATTCTTGCCCTAAAAAATTTAAAAATTCAATTTTATTAAAAAATCAATTTATGTCAATACAATAAATATTTATTATTTCTTGGAAATAGTGTATATTACTTTTTACGCGTTCTTTATTTTTCTTGTTTTCATTGTCCTTCCAAATTGCACATTAAATTTTAAATTTACGTGGATTTAGTTAAGAATGCAATTCGAGCTTAGGTATCTGAGTAGTAACGGATGACATGCCGGTAGGATCCAAATCTCTATTTGGATCATATGATACTACATATAAACTTTAAAAATCAAATATAGTAAGTTACGTACGTACCGGTACGTTTAAAAATGAGGCGAAAAGATGAGTGGATGAACGCAATATTACATCAGTATTACATTTTAGTTACGTAGATTATCGTATGCACTTTCATATGTAAATATGTAAATGCAATTTACACTCTGATTACGTCAGTGAATTATGTGCATGTACATACACGTAAAAAAAGTCCGAAACAATATTATAAGCCACTTGAAAAAAAATCGAGATCCATAATAATGACGATAACTACTGAACTATATTTTAAAGTTTTGAAAAATCGGTTAACTTAGCACATGACACAATTTTAGTAGAGCCAGCATCGTATTTCAAAGTACAAAAATAAAATAACGTGTAGAAGAGTAGAACTATAATGGCAATTTTAAAATTTTATGAATCTTAAAAAGCTTCTAATAATAACTATACTATTTTATATATAAAAATATTTATAGTATATACGTATGTATAAGTCTTTGAAATTACCTAAATAAATTTAATATATACTGTAATTATTTAAATAGTAAAAAAATAGGATATAAATTAAGCAGTATAATATATTTTTATTGTCTGCTACTATATACGTAGAATCTTATCTTTTATAGCACAGTACAATAACAATAATAAATAATCGATATATTAAAATTTTTGATCTGTCTGTGGCGCAGTTCTTTTATACAGTATTTGTTCTGCATTATGTTCGAGAGGAGTATCAGCATCATAAATATAATAATAGAGACAAAGCAATAAAATACTATAGTGTTTGAATTCTTTACTGAAAGTCTATCACCAAAAGAAAAACGGCAAAATCTTTTTTTATTTAATATTGTACTATACTGCATTAGAGCTGGGATCCGTTGAATATCCATTATGACTATTCACAGGTTTTTGCCATCCATGAATGATATTGAATGAATATTCAAATTTTATATGGATGTTCATGTAATACGTAGTAAAATCTTAGATTATTCATCTCGAATATTAATTCCGTGTAAAAAACTAATAATACTTAATCCTTAACTATTCGTGAGTTTTGTGTAACTAGATATTCTTTTTTAAACGTGGATATTCACGGATCCCAGCTCTATTCTGCATCAGTGTATGCTTCTATTTTCATCGTTGAATTAAAGATTAATATAAAGATTATTTTAAGTGCCATATTGAATAATTCATATTGCACATGTGAATTGAATATATTATTTTAAAAAAACAATAGATTAATGATGAGTTTTTAGATCCTGCTTATCGTCAAAAAAAAAAATATTATTCAATCATCCTAATCAAAATACTAAATTCTAACCGTAAAGGGCTGTTAAAATAATTTTATAATACGAACTTTCTCATCCTAAGACTAACCATAAAGAGCTGTTAGTTATTTGATTTTCAAGTTACACTGATGATTGGCTAAAACTCGAATGCCAGTTAGGGATGATATAATAGAAAATGGTAATATATATGATACATATGGTATAGCATCAGCTTAATATGGATCGGAATTTTTCGGAATTACTCTTAAGGTAAACTTTCGGAATTGCAGATAAAGCAATTTAATTGGCTATTATTGGTATTATACTGGTATTATACCAATAGTATAATACGGTATAGGTATAGCTCGCATCTCTAACGCTAGGGTATCCAGGATTATGATGTAATTTGTACTGCATAAATAAAGTTGTATAATTTAGATCAGTATAATACAGGCCAATTTTTAAAAATATACTATACGGATCTGCAAAATTATAGAAACTAACACTCATATATAATACCTGATCAGTATAGTATAGATTTAAAAATCGGCCTATACTATCTGCCCACTTATACCATACTGATCTGCAGAATACTTATAATTTAGGCCATTTCGCATATTAATTCGCATAATATGATTTGCTAGATTTGCTAGATTCTTTGGCCAATGAAATTGTTCAAGTAGAAGAATAAAAAACTAGGGTTTGGGACCGTTTTTCATAAACCGTTTTAATCAGTTTTAGCATATTTAAAATAAAATCGGTTCAAACTCTATACAGAACTAATAACCACTAACCTAGCATAACCACGATCAGTTACGTACGGAGTTATAATTAATTACTTACCGAAATTTTAATGATGCAATGTATCAATCATAGTTAATAATGAGTTATAATAATAATGACGATGTTTGTTTGTATATTGTAACTTAATATTAAAAATTTTCTTACCAAATGGTTTATTAATGGAATCCGATTATTCAACCCCATCAAATTCAAAAAAAATGTTCGTCTTGCTGAATAATAGACCAAATTAATGAAATTGAAACAAATAAAGAAACATATATCGAATGCTTAACCCGTATAAATAAAGGTAAAAACGGAAATGTTAGGAGCAGAATATGAGTAATATTCATGAAATGCAAGAAAGTGCTGTAGAACCTGAAGTATGGATAATATGGAAGAAGAGAGTGCACGAATGGATCTTAATGCAATTATAAACCTTTCAATCGAATTGATAAAATTAGAAAATATTAATAAATCACATGCAAACTTCATAGCAATTGAAATTATAAGGCACTATAAGAAACGGATACTCTTATGTTTATCATAAGAAGCATTATATTGTTTACGTGTACTTATTGGTGCAATTGCTGTTAAGAGCTTGAAAAGAAGGCAAAAAAGGTTTAAACAATGTAATACAGAAGCACTTCTTCAAAAGGTTTGATAAAAGAAATAACACTTATCAGCTCGTAATAGGGCTCCTAGGTCCGGTTCGGGGTTGACAAACTCTAAACTCAAACCAAATTCAAACAGTAAAATTTTACCTATTTCAAACCCAAACCCAAACTCAAACCTGCAATGCCAAACTCAAACCAGACTTGAACACAAGTATAAGTTTGGTTCAGAGTTTGCAAACATGTTTGAGTTTGACATGTAGGTTCTCTGACATTACCAAATTCCCGATATTACCATATTCTGGCATTAATATCCCAAAATTCACATCTCACATCCCAACATTACCACATTCTGGCATTACCACATTTTGAAATTACCACTTCCCCAACAACATCCCCAGTATTATCACTCCCCAACATAACCATTTCTCTGACTTTATCACTTTTACTGTACTTTGCTAACAACTTCTTCCTATAACCTTTTCAAACAATTACAACAACTATTATTTTTTTAATAGCTACTTTTTTTCAACATCACTTCCACTACTTCCTGTTACCTCCTTATATAGCTATTCTCAACATGTTAAAATCTAAACATATTTAAAAATTTTTAAAAAAATATTAAAAAAAATCAAATAATTATTTTCACTTTTACTAAAACACACTTATAGTGTTTTATCATCTAAGTTGCATTATCTTAAAAACTAACCAATTAATTAATATACAATACTCTAAGTAAAAATGTTCTATGTCTCTCAAAACCCTCTTAAATCTTAATTATAGCACTAAATACAACTATAATATAAAGAATTTTTGCTAAAATTTTATATAAAAAAATTTGTAAAAACTTAGAAAAATATACAAAAGCATATAATAGGTACACAACCACCATAGATGTATTTTATAATAAATGATTATTTTAAATAAAAAATTAAATTATTTAAAAAAACTAAATTATTTTAAAAAAATTAAATTATTTAAAAAAAGAATTTAGTTAAACACCAGTAGTAATTATTACCTTTTTTATATATTTTTAGAGATGTTTTATAGAATAGGTAGGCAGACTCTGCAAACTCCACAACTCCACTAAATATTTATTAATGATTACTAATTAGTAGCAGAGTTTATTTTTTATATTGCCCACCTATTCTATAAAACATCCATTTTTAGAATTAGAGTACAGGTATTAAGAATTTTTTTTTATATAATATAAAGCTAATATAAGATTTTAATTTTAGTTTTTATAAAGTTTTTAAGTTCTAAACATTTTTACTTAGGATATCTAATTCAGTTTACTTAGTATATTTTTGAGATATAAGTATCTTAGTTAGTGTTTTTAGTTGGTACAGTACTAGACAGTAAAAGATATCTACTCTTTATTAGTAAAACTTTAAATTGTTATAACTTTTTTTAAAAAAAATTAAATCAAAAAACTCTCTAACAAATTGATAGATTTTTAGCTATACTATATTTTTGTTAAAAGATTTTTTTATTCTTTGTTTTAAAAAAGTTATAAGAGATTAAAGTTTATATGAGTTCAAAAAATTGGTGTTTAATATAGAAAAAACATATATAGATTTTTAACCAATCAAAATCAATTACACAATAATTAGCTAATCAGATTTAATTATATAAGTATCAAAAATTAATACCTATATATATAGAATGAATATTTTTTACTGTTTCATATTAAAAAATTTTGCCAATTAACTAGTTGCCAACTAAGTTGCTAACTAATTAATTATTCATATTATATAACATTATTAGATAATTAGCTAATTAAATCTAAAAAATTATTACAAATTAGTCTGACTAAGTGAAATATCTTGAAATTATATTAATTAAATAATTAGTTTTTAGTTATTTAAAAAATTTTCAAATTGGAAGGTGTAGTAATATAGCAAAGTGGTAGAGTTATCACACCTCCAAGTTAGTTTGGCAGTAGTATTGAGTTTGAATTCTACTGGTGATGTTTTGGACAATTTACTTGTATCATAGTAATAGCTTATTCTAATTTGAATTGAGCTTTATATCTGTAAACTAGAGCATACCAATGCCTCATGTGTACTAGAAGAAGTAGAAGTATTTGTTTTATTATATAAAAAAATACAAACTAATATAAATAGTGCAAATTCATAATAAGTCTTCCAGGATCAACTAATATAAAGACCTACTTATAGTAGTCTGAGAAAACCAAAACCAGCTTGGCAAATTCCAAGAAAGAAAGTAACAAATCAGATTTAATTTAGTACTACCCAGTACTACAAGATAAATTTGACTAGATCCAAAAATTTAGAAAACCGGCAAAAAAGATTTACCAACCAGGCTGCCAGAGTTACTAGAGCTGTGCTAGTTGTATATTCTTTAATTATACTGATAACTAGATAACTAGTAGAAAATCCTTGGATAAGACTTTGGAAGAAAAGATTATATGCTATAAAAATATGAATCAAAAATCAGGTAATCTTCAAACTTAAGACTAGGAAATTCGAGTCTGGGCAAACCAATTCTTCTGAGCAAAGTTGGTAATAGACTATGTCTATTGAAAATAAAGTTGTCAATAAATTATAATAGACCAATACTATAATCCATTGGTCTATTAGTATATTGATTTATATTAGCTTTATCAAAAATACCACTTTATAAACATTGATTATAATTAAACTATTTAAATATATAGGAAGTGTTATAGCAAAACAAGGCTTAGAGATATTTGAGTTTTGTATAAATATTTTATAATATTTTCATATCTACAAATATAAACCTTTAAACTATAAAAATATTTGCTTATTTATATTATAAATAAGCAAATATTTTTATAGTTTAAAAGTTTATATTTATAAATATGAAATTATTACAAAATATTTATACAAAGCTCAAATATCTCTAAGCCTTGTTTTGCTGTGATGCTTCCTATATTTACTATTTTTATTCTGTAAATTTTTTTAAATATCTAGCAAAAATTAACTTCTAAACAAAATATTATAAAAAATATAAACTATATAAATTTTATTTGTGTTATTTTTTAACTATATTTTACAGAAAATAGCAAATATTAGTGCTATATATTATATATAGATTATCCAAATAAGAAGTAATAAGTAATTATATAGAAAGGTGTGGTGACTTAGTGTAGTGGTCTAGTCGTCACTCTCTCCAAGTGGCAGGTCTAGAGTTCAAATCCTACGGACGACGAAATTT